GGAGAGAAGAAAATTTTGTTATGACTCTAGATAATCACGATTTTAAACATTTTGTTAAAAAAACAAAACAAAAACAAGTCTGGATTTCCAAGAAAAGAATTGGCATGGGAGGTGAGGAGTAGCGCGGAGATTGGGATGGGAAGGAAAAAAAATAAATGTTACATAAAACCTTTTTTGGTTGCCTGTCTGTCTCTGTGGTTATCTTAAAGGGCAGCTCTTTGGTACAGGTGGGTTTGGTCTCTTGCCAGGCCCTTCAAATAACCGGAGAATGGGTAGAAATGGAGAAACTGGGAAATGGAGCAGCGGCCCCCGTGTGACCAGGGGCTTTTCATTTTCTGTATGTTGCGTGTTACGGTTACAGTCCAGCTGAGTAATGGTCAAGCAGATAGAGAACTAGAAGACTTACCTAAAGCTAGAAATAAGACGGTGGCCCCCTATGGAGAGGAGACGTTGGTAGGGAAGGAAGAGGGGCAGAGCTGTGCCACATTAGAGATGGATTACAAGGGGGAAAGTAGCCCCCCCCCAGCCTGATAGAGACAGTGAATTCTATCTGTCTGTCCGCTCCCTTCTCTTGACAGGTAGTGGGTTCCATAGCCTGTCTGGATGCTTCAGAGCTTTCCTACTGGGAGGCCGTCCTTTGTCTGTTGGCTTCATGGCCATGCTGAGCGGATGGTCCAGAGACATCTTCTACTGGGGAGTCTACTGCTTTAGTTACCTACTCTCTGAGATAGGCACTTGGTAGGGCTGTCTTACGAAGTGAACCATCACATACCTCTATTTGCCAAGGCAGCAATACAGTTTGCTTGAAACCTTCTCAATGGCTGGCCAGATTATGTCATTTTGGGTGGCCTCATTGGCTAGTAACAACTGTCCAAAATCTTGTTAAATCAGCATCTCTGAATCTGGGGTCCCACTTTCGTGGTTTCAAGTCCCTGGACAGCAATGCAGGAACCATCCCTTTCCCCCTTGGCTTTAGATGAACATATCTTGGTCTCTGGCTCTTAGAAAAATGAAACAACGGGAGCTGCCTCCCTCCGCTGCAGACACCCAAAGCTGGCAATGGGGAGGGATATGGCCCTTGTAAGGCAGGGGCTACTGGGGCTGCCGTGGTGGAGGTGTTCGAGGAGGCTCTGGGGCATCTGGCTTTCCCAGTTCTCCAGTATCCAGATGCCTTTCTACCAAGTTCATAAAGTTTCCATTTTTAGGGTGGTGGGGGCTTTGTCTGAGGGAAAATGCACTAGGCAATAGTTCAGCTCACTGCTTTACTTCTATATACCAGCAATTCCAGCTTGTCAGCCAAAGACAGAAAAACCTCCACTGTGCTCTTCCTTTTCTTGACTCAAGCAGTTTCACGGTTTAGATCTGTCACTTACTCCTGGTTCCAGTTTCTGTATTAGGACACTTTAATTTGCAACAGAAAGATACCTAACTTAAGAGCATTTACTGGGAATCGAGCCTGAAACCCAGGGCATGTACCCTGACCGGGAATCGAACCTTGACCTCCTGGTTCATGGGCTGATGCTCAACCATTGAGCAACACCCCCAGGGCAACACTGATGTGGGAGAGACACACACTGGCCGGGGATTGAACCTGCAACCCAGATACAAGCCCTTGATGGGGAATCAAACCTGCGACCCTCAGGCGCACAGGCCAATGCTCTAACCACTGAGCCACGCAGGCCAGAGCTAAAGTTTTGAATTAATAAACTAATAAAGACTAGGAGAATAGGAAATAAGGCCTGTTGCAGCGTGCTGTCCTACAGAGCCTCTAAGTCTTAATTGTTTGTGACAAACATGATTTTAAGTTTATGAAGGTCCGCTTTATCTGCTTTCATTTATTGTTTTCTCTACCGTTAATCATTTCCTTGTCTCTTTCAACTTTAGAGTCTCCCACCCTCTTCTACATCAATTCATATGTGACCATGTGGTACGACTGTCACTCTACTTTTCAAGTTCAATTCAATTCAGCACTGAGAGTCTTACAAAGTTCTTACAGGTTTCTAAGGAATGGATGTTCCTTCTTGAAATTACAGTGGCTGTTCTTAACCTCATTGGTGATCAATTTTCTAGTTCCTCAGGCTTGGAGAAATAAAGAGAAAGTTTTAAAGCTTCACTGGGAGTGTGCCTCTTCTATTCCAAAACAGTCACATCATATGTCTATTATTCCGAAGTTCACGATCATCTTAGTTTCACTTGATCTGAGGCACTTGACCCTCAGATGCATTAACTATCATCCAATCACTGCGAGGGGAACCGCCAGGCAAAAGCCTCCTTTCTTGGCCATCTGTTCCTTTTTGTTTTCTTTCTTTCAGCCGTAGGGAGAGATCTGAGACTAACAGTGGCAACAAATAAAATACAAAATGACCTGCACTTCCAACTCCCATTTGAAAAACACAAGGAACTCTGAGGCTCTAAGAAGAAAGATTTCTCTGGGCCCAAAGCCAGGCCCCATATCTGGGAGCCCATTCAGAGTCAGTATTGCACAACCAGCCCCACATAGTCAAAAAGAAGTGGTGATGAACGAAAATATTTCCTTTGTGCTCCTTCCAATTTGCATTGTTTTCGTAGTCTCTGGTCTTTTCACGGAGAGTATCTGACGCCTTGGCATCACCAAGTTATGACACCAAGGCTTAATATGCCTTCGGAATGGAAAAACTGCTACCACTTTGTGCAATATCTGTATATTTGCGAGTGGATTCCTTGAATGGGAAGAATGCATTTCTGAATTGGGAACTTTTGATAGAAAGGAGAGATACATGAACAGAAATATATTTTCCCTTTATGGTGTTACTGTTACTTTGCAGAATTAAAGTTTTGCATATTCAGGACTCGAGACAGTTCCTGCTTTTTTGGATACTTCTCCAAGTGAGTAGTTGATCAATATGCACGACACTCACCAGCATATCTGTAAGTGACAAAGGCAAGTTAAAGTAAAGGAGATTTGAATGGTATGAGCTTTTAATAAAGTATTTGGTAAGAGACTGGAGAGCAGAATTTGGCAAACTACAGTCTATGGGTTAAATCCATCCTACCACCTGTTTATGTACCACTTGCAAGCTAAGAATGGTTTTTCATCTTAAAATAATTACATTTAATATGGTTATATAAATACCTACATAATAGCCTCAATTTTGCTTCAGGGCCCACAAAGCCTAAAATATTTTCTTTCTGGCCCTTTATGGAAAAAGTTTGCTAATACCTGTTGCAGAGTAATGGCCTGGAAATATCAATTGAGAAAAAGATTATTGCAGAATTCTGTCCCTTCCCCAACTGTGGCAGACTGAGTAATGACCCCAAAGATGTCTGTCCACGTCCAAATCCTTGAAACCTGTGAATATTTTACCTTACATGGCAAAAGGGACTTTACAGGTGTGATTAAATTAAGGATCTTGAGATATGAGATTATTTTGGATCATCTGGGAGAACCCAGTGCAATCACAAGGGTCCTTAGAAGAAGGAAGCAGAGGGGTCAGAATCAGGCATCATACGTGATGACAGGAACAGAGGCAACCATGAGGCGAGCAACTCAAGAAGTCTTTAGAAGCTGGAAAAGCAAGGAAACAGTGTCCCCTGGAGTCTCCAGAGGGAAGCAGTCCTGTGGACACCTTGATTTTAGCAGTATGACTCACTTTGGACTTCTGAACTCCAGAACTATAAGATAATAAATCTATGTTGTTTTAAGCCGCTAAGTTTGTACTAATCTGTTATAACAGCCATAGGAAGCTTATACATTTATCAGTCTTGTGCTCCTTGGGTTGTAGAAGAATCGTAGGCTTCACCATAGAGTCTCACAAAACATAATGAGTTCCTGTAGGTAAGCTAGGGAAGAGGGAGAGGTCAAGATGTGAGAGGCAGTTTAGAGTGCAGGACAGGGAGCTAACTGCAGAACCATGCGTTAGGTAGTGTTTGGAAGAGGCGCCCAAGGAAGAGCTCCATCCCATTAGGGAAGGAAGAACTGCCCACGGGAATGTGGCTGAGATCAAGGGGGGGTGGGTAGGGTAGTGAAGATGGACTAGACTCAAGTTTGGAATGGACTCCACCCAGGTATCTACCTGAACTCCAATGATGCCTGCACTGGAGAAGAAGAGAAAGGAAGAAAGCCCTTACAATGATAAGGGTGTGGTTTTGTCAGCCATATAAACCCTGTGAGCTCT